CACAGAGACATAACGACATCAGTATAGTATACAGAAGGTAGCGGTTGTATCCAGCGCGACAACTTATGAATATTTACACCTATTGAATATGCATATCACTGACAATGTATTTATTTTATTCCTTTTTTATATGTGTGTGAGTGCGTGTTATTTTCATTTTCTTCCTTCAACAATAAAAGGGAAGATCAATATTTCGTATGAACTGTATGAAATTTTGCTTTTGAATTGTGGAGAAATTTCTTTTTTTTAGAAATAGTGCGTTCGCTGTATATATGTATGCTCGTTGAACCTGATTAAAGTGAGAACGATGTGCTTCAGAATTGTAGTCGTTTTCTTTTTTTCTTTTTCTTTTTTTTTTTTTTTTGTACATCTACCCTCACGCGCATTTACTTTCAATGTGCTTTATCGTTCGAAATGTCAATGCGACAGGCATCGATGCGTTACTCTCGTACGGATTTACGATAGGTTTGCCTACGAAAACGGCTTTAGTTTTTACTTGCTTCAAACTATATATATATATATATATATATATAAACACGATCAAACGCAACGGTAAATGTATTTTTCGTCTCAATTGAATTTTCACCTTTACTGCAACAACTTTATTTTTCACCAAAGTGTTTTTTTTTATTGATAAATCGAACATATAAAAGAAAAAAGTTTTTTTGTACACTAAACATTATTTTATTATTATTATTGTTATTATTATTATTAAAATTATTCTTTTTTTTATTATTATTATTATTATATTTTTTTTTCATCATCAATTATAATAAAAAAAGGCGCATGATTATTCCCCAAATGTCATTTTTCCGAAATGTCATTTTACCGAACTGCACTTTTGCGAATACTCATTTTTGCGAAAAGCCAATTTTGCGAAATGTCACTTTTGCGAATTGTCATTTTTTCGAAAAGCTATTTTTGCGAATTGTCATTTTTGCGAATCGCCATTTTTACGAATTGTCAATTTTCCGAAAAGTCATTTTTGCGAATTGTCATTTTTACGAAAAGACATTTCTGTAAAATGGCATTTTTGCGAAAAAACATTTTTGCGAATAGTCATTTTTGCGAAAAGTCATTTTTACGAATTGCCATTTTTGCGAATTGTCATTTTTGCGAAAAGCTATTTTTGCGAAAAGTCATTTTTGCGAATCGACATTTTTACGAATTGTCAATTTTCCGAAAAGTCATTTTTGCGAATCGCCATTTTTACGAATTGTCAATTTTTCGAATTTTATTTTAGCGAATTGTCATTTTTGCGAAAAATACAATAGTGAATTTATAGACCTACAAGTCTTCTATTGTATTTTTCGCAAAAATGACAATTCGTAAAAATGTCGATTCGCAAAAATGGCGATTCGCAAAAATGACTTTTCGGAAAATTGACAATTCGTAAAAATGACAATTCGTAAAAATAACTTTTCGCAAAAATGACAATTCGTATAAATAACTTTTCGCAAAAATGACTATTCGTAAAAATGGTGATTCGTAAAAATAGCGATTCGCAAAAGTGACAATTCGCAAAAATGACATTTCTTAAAAATGACAATTCGCAAAAATGGCAATTCGCAAAAATAGCTTTTCGCAAAAATGACAATTCGCAAAAGTGACATTTCGCAAAATTGTCTTTTCGCAAAAATGAGTATTGCTTGCTCTAATTTCAACTATTTTCAAAAAATTTTCTAATTTCAATTCTTTTCAATATCTACTATTTTAATAAAATGTTCCAAAAAGAATTCAATTATTTAAAAAAAAAATTTTAATAAAATTGTATGCAAACATTTTATTATTTTCATAAATAATAAAATTTTTTTAAGGAATTAATTGCAGATTAAATTGCAAATAAACTCTAAAAAAAAGCATTAATTTTTTTCCTGAAAAAAAATTTGTGGCAATAAATTTTTTTTGTACTTTCTGCTAGAAAACAATGAGAGAATAAAAATTTTTTTTTCTATCCGAGATTTTGAGTGGAAAGCAAATTAAGTGTCAAAATTTTTTTACATGAGTTGAATAAAAAAATTCTATTATCAAATAACATTTTTTTCCAATTAATTTCAATTCTTTTTTTCCATAAATGTTCAGTGAAATATATTTATTTTAAAAAAAATTTTTCCAAAAAAGAAAAAATAGTTTTTGATAAGTATTGTAAAAAATTTTGCAAAAGCCATTAATCTACAAAAATATTTTTTTCGATTTGCAAGTAACTTGAGATGAACAAGTGTGTAACAGAAAAAATATCTACGCGTATAAATTCGAGTGGAATTTTAAAATGAATTGATTGGGTGAAAAATTCGAATTTTTGTACTCGTTAAATTGTGTAAAATATTTCTACTCGTTAAAAACATTTTTTTCCCTAACCAATACATCCTATATAATAAAAAAAACAACTATCGAGAAAAGCATTAAATGAGTTTTTTATTTAAAAAAAGAGGAAGAGAAAAAAAAGAGAAAAATTGCTCACATAGAAAGCGTTTGATTAATGTCAAGTAGTCTATGGAGCTTATGGAATTTGTAGAATTTTCTGTTTTGAATGAAGACAAAGGAGTGTAATGTCAACCATTTCAAGTGACTAAAACTTGAGAATGGTGCTTGAGGGCATATAGTTTTTAAGAGGGTTTTAATAATAACAAACTTTCAAAAGTTTATAGTAACAAAATTTTGACGCTTAGTTATTTCCCCACTCAAATCTCGTTCAACAAGCAAAAAAAAAAAAGTTTCGCATCACCTTAGTATTTTTATTCTTGAATTTGCAAATTAAATTTAATAAAATTAAATATTTCTTGAAAATTCCAGAGTTTTATAATAGAATTATAGTGGAGAATATGATACTCATGTATGCTGAGAAAAATTTAATTTAATAACACTTTGAATGTTCTTTTTTTGACATTTTTCCTTTTGAAGCAGGAGAAAGAAGGAAAATGTTAATAGTTGGCGAGAAAAAACTACAATTTCTTAATTAAATTTCATTTTCCATAGAGCTCTCATTACATTAAATGTCAACTTTGATTTTAAAATGAAATTCATAATAAATTGTTGTACTAATTATAATTGTACTTAAGTAATTGTTGTTCAATTTAAAAAATTAGTTATAGAAAATGTAAACATTAACCTATATAGGTACATATGGCTAATTTTACAAAATGCTCATAAAATTCTAAGAATTCATGAAATCCATTGAAAATAAAATATTAGACTCAAAATTATAATTAAAAATTGAAATTAGAATTAGGAATTAGAATTAGAAATTAGAATTAAGAATTAGAATTAGGAATTAGAATTACGAATTAGGAATTAGAATTAGGAATTAGAATTAGAATTAGGAATTAGAATTAGGAATTAGAATTAGGAATTAGAATTAGGAATTAGAATTAGGAATTAGGAATTAGAATTAGGAATTAGAATTAGGAATTAGAATTAGGAATTAGAATTAGGAATTAGAATTAGGAATTAGAATTAGGAATTAGAATTAGGAATTAGAATTAGGAATTAGAATTAGGAATTAGAATTAGGAATTAGAATTAGGAATTAGAATTAGGAATTAGAATTAGGAATTAGAATTAGGAATTAGAATTAGGAATTAAAATTTTGGAATTAGAATTAGAAATTGGAATTAGGAATTCGACTTAGAAATTAGAATTAGGAATTAGAATTACGAATTAGGAATTAGAATTAGGAATTAGAATTAGGAATTAGAATTAGGAATTAGAATTAGGAATTAGAATTAGGAATTAGAATTAGGAATTAGAATTAGGAATTAGAATTAGGAATTAGAATTAAGAATTATTATTAGGAATAAGAATAAGGAATTATAATTAAGAATTATAATTAAGAATTATAATTAGGAATTAGAATTAGGAATTTAAATCAGGAATTAGAATAAGGAATTAGAAATTATAATTGAAAATTATAATTGGAAATGAGAATTGCATATTAGAATTAGAAAAAATTGTTGGTCTTTGAAATTAGAAATTCAAATTATAAAATATAATTAGAAATTAGAATTAGCAGTTGAAATTACAAATTAGAATTAGGAATAGTAATTAGAATTACGAATTAGAGTTACGAATAGTAATTAGGATTAGGAATTAGACATTAGAATTAGAAAATACCAATAAAAATTAGAATTAACAGTTAACATTGGAAATTGAATTTATAAATTGTAATTACGAATTAGAATTAGAATATAATAATTTGGAATTAAAATTAGGAAGAATTACTGGAAGTTAGAATTACAAATTCGAATTAGGTATTACAATTCCCATTTAGAATTAAGAATTAGAATCAGAAATAAGAAGATGCAATCTTAAATAAGAATTTCTATTTAGTAGGTGGAATTAGAAATTTCAAATATAAAATTATATTCAGAAATTTGAAATTAGAAAATACATTTATCATGTAGAATTAAGAAATAAAATAAAAAATTATAATTTTACATTACAATTGAAATTAAAATTAGCAATCGAAATTCAGAAACATATTTCGAAATTAAATTTCGATAATAATATTGTAATTAGAATAAAGAATCAGAATCGGGAATTCGAATTAAGAATTAGAATTACGAGTTAGAAATAAATGTTACAATTATAAATCAGAATTAAGAATTATGAATTAGAAATAATAATTAAAAATTAAAATTGAGAATTAGAATTAGGAATTAAGGTAAGGAATTAGAATTGAAAATTAGAAATTAGAATTTGAAATTCGAATGGCGAATGAGAAATTTGAATTAGGAATAAAAAAATTTAAATTAGAAACAGAAATTAGGATTTAGATATAAGGAACTAGAATTAGGAATTAGAATTAGGAAATAGAATTGAGAGTTAGAATTAGAAATTAGAATTGAGAATTTGCAGTTAAATTTAGAAATAGAAAGAAGAATTAAGAATTTGATTTAGGAGTTAGAATTCCGATTTTGAAATGAGAAATATAATATAACTGGAATTTGCAATTGGAATTATAATAACGAATTAAAACTATAATTAATTGAATATTCCACTGACCTTCATTGTCAATGGTGAATAATCCAATGCCATCTCCCGCTCGAATGCTGTATCCAATTCTCGAATCGCCACCAGGAGGGTCAGCATCCTTTGCACGAACTGTTGTCACCAATGTACCGACCGGTTGATTCTCCAAAATACTCGCGGACACAACAAAGTCATCAAATACAGGTGCATGAAGATTTTCATTCACATCGACAACTTCAACAATTAGCATTGTCTCAGAAGATAAAGACGGCTCTCCCCTATCGACTCCAATAATTGTCAGAGTATGAACCTGTCTCTCCTCGAAATCCAAAGTCTGATTAGTCCTCACAGTACCCGACACTTTGTCTACTTTGAAGAACCCTTCACTCTCCATAGCGTCAGACAAAAAGTACTCGACACTTCCCCCTGGTCCTTCATCTGGATCAGTGGCTTCGACAACAGCAACCACACTCCAAATAGGCACGTCCTCCCTTATTTTCACCGTGTAATTTGGAAGTGCAAAAGTTGGCGCATTATCATTGACATCGTCAACCGTGACACTGACAATGGCATCGGAAAATAACGGCGGCGTATCACCCTGACCACCATGATCCTTGGCACGTATTCTCAATTCGTAAAATTCCTGCCGTTCACGATCCAATTTTCCAAAGACACTCAAAACCCCTGTCACTGGATCGACAAGAAAATCGTTTGTATCCGTCACCAAGGAATAGGTGATTCTCGCATTCTCCCCAAGATCAGCGTCCGTAGCATTCGCTCTGAAAATACTCGTCCCATTTAGTGCGTTCTCCGAAACACGAAACTTAGCCAAAGATTTCTCAAATTTTGGAGCATTGTCATTGACATCAAGAATTGTCACCGGCAACATTCGCGATGACGATTTTTGCGGTTTACCAAGATCGTACACACTGATATTGAGAAAATACTCATTTTCCTTCTCCCGATCTAAATGACCAATGATGTTCAGATCCCCACTGTCAGGATCAATACCAAACACCGAATCCCTATCACCTCCTGATATTCCCATTACCAATTTCCCATTGTAACCCAAATCTCGATCCCTGGCACGAATTTTGTAAATAGTCGTCCCAATTTTCACGGATTCGTTAACTTTTATTTCACTTGGAAATTCAATGAATTCGGGTGCGTGAATATTCTCACCGTACCGACTAGGCATCATTGAACGTTCATCCTCAATTGCTGGCATATTATTCTTCTCCGCCGAAGCAATTGCGTCCGTTAATCGTCTAGCAACCCCGGTGTCCTTACACTGAAATGATCCAGTTTCGTCAGACAAAATTTTCCCCTGCGATGGTAGATTTCGTTTCACCGTGACAAAATGAATATGAATGCTATTAACATCCGCAAAGTGTGTACCATCAGTTGCAGTCACATTTATCACCATATCTGATACTTTAATTTCGTTGAGATCGCAAGCGACGGATAGTACACCGCTGACCGAATCCAATGCAAAGCACCCGTCTCCATTTCCTGAAACGATCCGATAACTGATAATATTCCCAGCGTCAAAGTCTATTGCCGAGACTGTTATAATCTCCGATCCAATTGGAACATATCTCGGTACATGACCACTGCAGTCAAACTTTTCGAATTGTGGTCGATTGTCATTCACGTCCTGAATCTTGATCTTGAGTTTCATTTCCGTTCGCCGCTGATAGGGTAGACCCCAATCTCCAGCTCGTATATGAAGGATATATTCACGTTTCATCGTTTCGTAATCTAAAACTTGACGCGTTCGAATAACCCCAGTGAATGGATCAATTTCAAAGGGGACTTTTTTGATATTATCAATACTGTACGATATATAGGCATTCTCACCGGAATCCTTATCCTTTGCGGTCACTTTCACCACTGTTGTACCGGCGGGTTCATTTTCGTTGATCCACACCAACATGTCCGTTTGCTCAAATGTTGGATCATTATCGTTTGTGTCGACTACATAAATTTTCACCTTCGCTGAGGATTGTTTTCGCGTTCCGGCATTGCCTTGATCTACTGCCGAAACAGTTAATGTGTAAAAGGCCTTTTTCTCCGCGTCCAAATTTACTGCTGTATACAACATTCCAGTGTCGGCGTTGACAAAAAATTCACCACCCTCATTACCGCCGACAATTTCAAGGAAGACGAGTGCATTCTTACCCTCGTCGGCGTCGGTTACTTTCAGTCGGATTACCGGTGTGTTAATTGGCGATGTCTCGGGAACTTTGACTTCGTAGATTTCACGACTGAAAACTGGTGCATTGTCATTGAGATCGGTGAGATGAACGGGAAGGGATTTATAGCTGAAACGTTGGGGAATTCCACGATCGACAGCACGAAGAGTGAGATTGTAACCACGAGGGGCTGTCTCACGGTCCAAGAGATGTAGCACTTCGATATTGTATTCACCGGATTGTGTTGTCGAGGGTCGTACACGAAAGTGACCATCCGGATCGCCGCCAACAATTTCCAGACTTCCTATTTGTCCATGTGGACCACTGTCCCGATCGATGACGCGTACGATTGCGTAAATATCGGCATTCGAGTGCTCGAGAATGTCGGGAAGATGATGAACGTAGATTTCCGGTGCGTGGAGATTCACCTGACGAACTTTAATTGTCACTTTTGCTGTGCTCGCTCTTGATGCACCAGTGCTCCTGTACATTGCGCCACGATCCTTTGCCAGCACCACCAATTCATGCATCGCTCGCTCCACGTATCTGTAATTTCATTTTTCTGATTTGTTCAACAATATTCGCCTTCAATTCCTAACGATTTCAATTTAAACCATAAATCTAGTATCAAAAAAAAAATCGTGTATAAGAAATTCAAATCGATCATCAATTTCACGGAAGGCAATTAATTGCTTTCCGTGAAATTGATAGTCGATTTGAATTTTAAAATGAATATAAATTTTTTTTCATGAACAAATCAAATTTTAGTGAACTTTAAATATTCCTTACCTGAGAGGCCTCGTGAGTGTGATCACCCCACTAACCGGATGAATAGCAAATTGATCCGTCTCCTCGGCGAAACTATAATAAATTTCTCCATTCCTTCCAAAATCGGCGTCCTCAGCTATTACTTTCATAATACTACGATGTAAAGGTGTATCCTCAGTAACAGTTGCCTCATATTCAGTGGGATAGAAAAGAGGATTCAGATCATTTGTATCTAAAACCGAAACCGCAACCGTTGTGTCCGCCTCAAGAACCGTAATTTTATTCTTATCCCTCCTTGTCGATGTGGCGCGCACTTCCAAAACATATCTATCATTACGTTCACGATTCAAAACATCAACATTACCGGTTCTAGTCCGAATCAAAAGAAAACAAAAATCACCAATGATACGTTCCTCGGCTTTGAAAAATTTGTCCTTATCACCGCCCACTATTCGATATTTAATATCGCCCAACATTTGCTGAGGGAGAATTTGTATACCCATTTTTTGCTCAGGCACCACGTACGTCTTACCAATTGAATTCTCCAAAATTGAGACATTGTAGGTTAATTCCGTAAAGCGGAATTCTTCTAGTGGTGTTAATTCAGTGGTGGGTGGTGTAATTGTCGTTGGTGGAATTGCTGTTGTTGTTGTAAAAGGTGGCAGTGTTTCTTCTGGTGATCCTTCGGTGGATGATGGGGATCCGGCTGTGACTGCAAATAGCCAGAGCCAGAAACCAATCCACGAGAGCAGCAGATGCTGCTTCATTTCTCTCATTTTGCTAGCTCATCCTTATTGGCTTCTTTGGAACTCTCTTCGGCTTCACCGCTTCTCGTGACGACTCCAGATCTACGATCTCATGATCTGTAACGCAAAAAAAAATACGAGGTTAGTGACAATTCTTTAGATGAAACTTATCTAGTTATAGAATTTTTATACATTCAGGAAAAGATGACTCCATGTAGGTAATTAAATTCCCTCTAAATTTCAGATGGGGTCAGTTATCCAAGGAGTACCAAACAGGAAACATCTACTTTTCCGAACGGAATTAGAAAAGTAACAAGGGGTTTTTTCAGGTGAATTTCTGAGCTATTAAAATTAATTCCCCAATTATTACTTCCACATAATTTCCTCCCTCTTGAAAATACTTGAAAGTTACCAGTAATTTCTTGAACTTGACTTTTACGAAGTCCGGATTGGTGACTTTCGAAAAATCCCCAAGAGAAGTTCAAGAGGACCCAAAAGGGTGTTTTAAGGTGAATTTCTGAGCTATTATTATTAATTACCCACAAATTATTTATGGAACCTTCCCGGAATGTCCCAAAAAATGTTCCTGTGTCCAAGCAACAAAATCCCTCTCACTCTTGAAACTCCAGAAATTCGGGATCAATTTCCCGATATCAAAAAGTTATTAAAAATGATTTTATGTTTCCTCAGAAGTAATTCCAGAAAATTTCTGAATATTCTCAAGTGGTGTGTGGGTGGGAGATTCAACTTAAATTAAAATTCACGGTTAGAGAGGGTAGAAAAAAAACTTTATAAAATAGAGGAAGTATTTTTATTAAAGTAGAGGTGGTAGTCAATGGAAAAATTTATTGTCGGTGCTTATCTTTAGAAAGTCGTTTGAGTAAATGCAACGTCAAGAGGTTTCGCGCAAGCAAATACCATTTTTCAACGGTTCTTCTTAGTGTGCTCGTGAAAATGACTGCGAGACGTATATAACGACGAGGAAACCGGGCACGGTGTCTATTCCGGTACGCCCTCGAAATGATAACGCGAGTGCGTGCATTGCCTCTGCACTCCTTGAGAGTATAAAGATAACAGATATCTTGCACTATATCTAGGAGTGTATAGCAGTAGCATTGGGTTGGAGAGCTGGTAGTTTAATTCCTAAAATGCAAACTTTGGTTTCCTAGAAACTAGAATTCAATCCAAAGCCTGCAATTAAATACAAAAGTTAGTAATAATTGGAATGTAAAATTGTCAATTACTTCCTGATTTGATGCGGAATTCTTAGCGACATGACTAGAAATCTACGTTAAATTTTCAGGATACTTGGGAATTTATGGAAGTCATTACTGAGAAATCTTTTGAGTGACTATTTTTACGGAATTACGAGACATTGTTCTCCCGGCTTTACAGGTGAATTTCTGAGCTATTAATTAATTCCTCAAATTACCACTTTCACATAATTCCCTCCCTCTTGAAAATACTTGGACCGGGAAGACATTTGCTTCATAGCAAATCCCACGAAAGTTAAGAATTATTTCTTGAACTTGATTTTTACGAAGTCTCGATTAGTGACTTTCGTTAAATTCTCAAGAGAAGTTCAAGAGGAACTTTGACCCAAAAGGGCAAAAACTGCACGAGACGTGATTCGTCAAGCCTCAATTTTCCAATGGGTTTTCAGGTGAATTTCTGAGCTATTATTATAATTATCAATTCTAATTACCACCTAATTAATAATTACAATTATCATTTAATCCCCTTCCCTAATATCCCATTCTTCGTCCATAATCAACCATCTGTTTATGGAACGTGATCAGACAACATATAAAGCAATTTGTATTTAATCCAGAATCGTTTATTTACTCCTCTATTTCCATTATTGGTTATCGGTTGTCCGAATCTCGCTTTTTCGAAAGCGTATGTTTGCTTGTGGGATCAATTCAAGGAAATGGTTTCAAAGCAACAGGTTGTTGGTGTTCCGAAGGGATGGAAGGCGAACTTTGAGAAAATTCAAGGAAAGTCGGTTGCATTTGGTGTGTCTGCCTTACCACCTCCTTCTCATTATCCTCCTTCTACATATTTCATTGTCATGAGATGGAAGATTTCCTTTTTCCCAGCTAAGACTTAATCATAGATTTAAAGCGTTAAACTCGAAAGATGAGAAAAGCGCATTTCTCAAAAAAACAACGACAGTTTATCATCACTTTTATTAAAACATAAATTTGTCATTCCATTTCTAAAGAGGGATCAGGTTGTGTGAAAATGCATAAATCCGTTTATGCGAAATCTGAAACATTATGATTTATGAGTGGGAGAAAAAAAAGGAGGTAGTGGACTTCTAAAAAAAGGGGTAATTTATTAGAGATAAATTCTATATAGAATCTGACGTTTCCCACGGATGTAGTGCTCTTTTTTTGGTGTGTTATTATTATTTTTTTTTTTGGTTGATGATTTAGCACGAGGGTGTAGAGGTCGATATTTCAAAAAGCATCACACGAGATGGTACCTTTAACGAGAAAAACAAAAAAAAATCGAGTGACGGGATTCGATGTGATTTATTACGAATTGGAATCGTAGTTGGCAGCGGTAGTTGCGAGACCGGATTTCGAGTACTCGAATCGCTGATATCGAAATGTTGAATGGCAGGACTGGCAAGCGATGCTTTTTGATGCACAATACCTGCTCCACCTAACGAAACACAAAATGCATTGTTCTGGAAATCTCATCCAGTGACATTGCATTTAGTGGAAGTCGTCCGTGTCTACTGTCTAGTTTTCGAATTCGGAAATTTGTAATTCTTCATTCTAACAAAACTTTTTTGTATTTCAATTTTGTTTTTTGTTCAGTGTAGGAAAAAAAATCGGAATTATGTATGCAATTCCTTGGGAATTTACAATCTTCATGGAAGAAAATGAAATATGATTTTTTTTTTGCTTATTTGTATAGGAAAATGAATATACGAGAGTAGCGCACGCTTGTAAGTTGAAGAAAAACAAAGTTGTTAGGAATGATTCGATGTGCATTGAAAACTTTCTAATGGAGCTTCTTTCTACCGTTTTCCGGAAAGAGTTATACGATGTTCGATTGCTAAACAAAATACGTTCTCAAGCAACTTTCGATAAAATGTAATAACCGTAAAGTATGAATGAAAATGGCAAGAACAATGTCGATACGACCTTTCCCCTTTTACCTCTTGGTATTCGAAAGTCATTCTACTTGGGGTGTGCAAAGGATGAGACGATTTAGAATCGTACAGAGGTTATCGAAATACCATTACGTCTTGTTCCTTTGCCGAAAGTCGCATATATTGCAAGTCGGCAGTAGATTCTCGTATCAACTTCAAAATATTTTCATTCCGATTAGTTGAATATTACAAATTTACTCCTTATTCCGTTTCTTTGATTTCGAGATTACTTTTTATTTCCGAAAGTTACTGGATATAAAAAACAAGATGGTAATTGCCTTGAAATAAGTGATGTCTGATGTGTCGAGTGGTTAAGAAGCAATTAGTTTTCAACCACGTAATGCAAATCCGTTAAGTGGTAACAAAAGCAAATCGTAAGCCTCGAAGATTCTTATGAGCCACGTTCATATAGTAATAGGATTTATTCTTTATGACACTTTGAGAGATTCATCCGATTGTGACCCTTATCCTCCGATTCATTATTTACCTCGCAATTCACCTCGAATCTTAAGACAGTTTTCACAGTAATAAATTTTCAAGCGGAAGTAGAAAGAAAAATTAGGTACAATCTTCAGTAAATCCCCATTTGGCATTTGGTAATTAGAAATAGGTTGATTACTTTTCACGGTTAGGTTAGATAATGGTGGATGATTTTGGTATTCATCAGCAATTATCCGAAAGAGGTCATAGTAATTCGAAAAGGTAATTTAGGTACGTGTTTCTAAACTCTTTAGCGAGATAGAAATCGAAGGAAGGAAAATATTCTAATTCTAGTTAGAAATTTCCTTTTAGAAAATTAATTACCGTCTTAGTTCGTAATTTTTTTTGGGGAACAATTCTTCTAGTGGTGTTTATCGGAACTTTGAGGTTCCTGCTTTGAATCATTCCTAAGATCCACGAACCTTCTATGCGGTTGAATCTTTTAATTTATTTCGATAACAGTATTTGCCCTTTTGTGTCAGTTCTAGGATCCATAAACGTTTCTTGAGGACAAATCTATCAGCTATGTTTTGGATCCCCAAATGAATTTGTTTGACTTTTGGTATCTCCCTTTGAATCATTCCTAAAATGCACGAACCTTTCTTTAGGATAAATCTCCTTGAGGCATTTGTTCGTATTTACCATTTTGAATCATTCCCAAAATCCACGAACCTTCCCTTGGAGAAAATGTCACCTTGAGGCCCTGACCTCTAGGAACTACTCGATTACTAATTAGTCGGTGGACACTTTCACTATGACTAGTGGATCACTGGACTGGTTAACCTCTAGTGACTAGACTACTCGATTACTAATTAGCCGGTTGACACACTTTTGCCATGACTAGTGGGTCACTGTAGTGATTGACCTGTAATGATTATTCGATTAGTAATTAGCCGATTGACACACTTCCACTATAGCCATTAGGTCACTGTAGTGGTCCCGACCCCTAATGACTACTCGATTACTAATTAGCCGGTTGGCTCACTTTCGTCATGACCAATGGGTCACTCGACAGGTATCGTTGATGATCTACTGATCATCAATCACGGTTCGTGGAAAATTCCGACAGATAGCGTGACGACTTACATCATTACACCTTGACCACTTTCCTTTGGGTAATTATTTATCTCTGGGTATTTTCTTCTTTGAACCATTCTCAAGATCCAAGACCCTTTCTTCAAGACAATGCTCCTGGTAATCTTCGTTTTTGTATTTCCTCATTTGAATCATTCCTAAGATCCACGAACCTTCCACCATGTTTCCTCTACCTCCTCCGGACTCCTAATGGTCTGTGCTACATTCGGCGATTTTCTGCAAACTTACCATCAATTTTAGTGTTCCTTTTACTTCTATACAGTAATTGGAGAACTGAATCCTCTTGTTCACGGTACCGAATGGTAATTCACCCTCTTTCTCTAATGAAATTTAGAATCCTTTTCCCCTAATTATTATTAGGACGCCAATTCCAGTT